AATACTCAATGTACTGACCGTAACATTGGCATACAACTCGTGTATAATTATCTATAATAGACCGTAAGTTATTATTAGGATTACACGCTACGATACACTAACCATGTTGTGACATACGTTTCGTGTGTATGTGTGTGTGTGTGTGTGCTTATGTATAGCGAAATGTAAGTTGGCATACGTGCTATACCCAATGATGTGCTAATATTGCAACGTGATACATAATCCATCAATAATCACATATGTGGTAGCCGGTAAGTCATTTCTTTTGTTTGTAATCCACAATAGGCTAATTCTAATATAATTGACGATTCATCGATGATGACGTATCATAGAAAGTAAGTTATCACTTTGATTATACTATTTCCACATACTCATTGCAATACGGTATACGATTCACGCATGCTCATTGATAACAGAATGTAAGTGCGCATTCCAATGACAGTTTGTACATTATGCTAATTACAAATGTGGCACCTATCGCGTACATGGCCGCATGCCATAGTTTGTAAGCTAAACTTTCGACTATCCCACGTAATGCACTAATTATACAATATGGCATGCGATGTGTGCGCGATTATATAAATGCTAGTGGGTAAGTTGGTATGCCAATTGCAATGTAGACCATGCTAACGTCAACGGAATTCATCGTTTATTTACGATTGTGTGTACCCGTAATAGCACGTAAGTTAGCATGATCACAACAGCGAATAATGCGTTAACCGCGGTATCGCTCATTTTGCGTATAATGGCAACATAAAGTGGTAAATGTGAGTTTGAAAAAGAGCTACGCTTAAACCAGTATGATTTAACTATGATTACAGGACAAGCCAAGGGCATCATCAAGTAGATATAGATATAGGTATTCAAGTCAAGAATGTATTGGTGCAAGATCCTCATTTAGTGTCCATGTCATTCAAGTCATTATTCCTTGGACCAAGAAATATATCTACAAGATCATCATTCAATCAGTTATTGAATAAATATGTCCTATTATGACCATTACAATAGTACAATGATTTATTATGTAGTTTGGATAATCAATAATGTAGAGACATCTAGAGTGACTGAACTGAAGTGAAATGTCATAGTAACTAATTATTATTATCATCCTGTTAATGGGAAAATGAAGGAGAATAAAAGTGAACACACAAACACAGTTGCACCCGTATCTTCAATCTTCAATCGCACTTTCTCTTTTATAATCATTCTTCCATCGATTCATCTATACTTTCTCGGGCAGTATACATCTTGTATATGTAGCAGTCGAGGCATTGCTTCTAGTTGTGCACAAGCATTATTTCTTCATTATCGTTTATTTAATTGTTATTTTCGCTATTATCCGCCATGGCAAGTAGAAAACTACAGGGTGAGGCAGGGGAATGAGGATAGAGACACACGTATTATGAACAGCGCCAGTGCTGACACCTTACAATTCATTAAGCGGAAATCGACCGCGTCTTTAAAAAGGTCTCTGAGGGTGTGGAGACGTTTGATGCGATATTTCGCAAGTTGGAAGGCTCGGACAATTTCAATCAAAAGGAGAAACATGAACAGGACCTGAAGAAGGAAATTAAGAAGTTGCAACGATTACGCGATCAAATTAAGAATTGGATTTCGTCCAGTGAAATCAAGGACAAAACACCACTAGTAGATCAGCGACGACTAATTGAGCAGGTAAGCGGGTTGGCGTGGCATACGCGCTGAATGACGAGGCGAGTAAACGAGTTCACACTTACTCATGACGCATTCCACTATAGAAAATGGAATTGTTTAAGGCGTGCGAGAAAGAAATGAAGACAAAAGCGTTTTCCAAGGAAGGACTTACCCTAGCGGCTCGTATGGACCCCAAGGATAAGGAAAAACAGGAGATATCGAATTGGATCACGCGTACCGTAGAGGATCTAAGCACGCAGATTGATGGACTTGAGGCGGAAGCAGAGCGATTACAAGTGGGACTGCGTAAAAACAAAAAGTCCTCAGAGAAATACGAGCGTATATCGGCGATCGACGACTGCGTGCAACGACACAAGTGGCATATGGGACGACTAGAATTAATATTACGCTTATTGGAGAACGGCAATGTGACATCGGACCAAGTAAGCATTGATGATGGTAGAGCGATATCCGTAGAGGGAATGCTTATAATCACTTTGTATGTCAGGTTCAACGCATTCGAGACGATGTTGAATACTATGCCGAGAATAATCAGGTAGATTAAATGATTCATAGTAGCAAGAACTGTAGCTTACTAAATGGTACTAAATGGATACTAGGATCCGGACTTTGCGGAAGATGAAGAGATTTACGATGAACTTAACCTGGAGGCGGAAGAGGAGCTTTACGCCATTGGCATGAATGAAGATCTCCAGAGTAGTCATGGATCGGTATCCGATAGTAAGTAACATGCGTGTAAGTAATTCTACGGCTAACTAACGTACATTGCGGATATTAGTTAAAGAACTTACAGTAAGTCGCGTAGACTGATTTGACATTCGTTGCACGCGTTGATAACATGATAAATAGATGGACAAATCGACCGATGATATCAAGCTAGACGCGTCACCTCGTAAATCCACAGAGGTAATGCAAAGACATTGTTGTTGTTATTAATCATCAGTCTAACATATATATATATATATATATATATATATATATATATTAATAGGTGGTAGTCGAATCAGGATCTACCAAGTTGACCCTAGTTAAAGCATCAAGTGGTGGATCACTAGCACCAAAAGGTACGTATTCAGCAGTAATGGAAATAGGACGTGTACACTTATTCTATGACTAGAACCGCCCTCATCGCGTAAATCGGCAAAAGACTTGGCTCAAAGTAAGTACTAGTCAATTCAGTAATTGATGTATAGCGAAATTCAGCGTTTGTTTACTCGTTTGTTTATCATTATTAGATATCAGTCGTGGTTCTACGCCCACTGTTACGCATATAGATCGACCGGATTCTCCTTCACCAGCAAGTAACACGTCAGCTGCACCTTCACCTGCTCGTAAACAAACGACAGCTCAGTTGTATTCGGTTACAGCGCAAGCTTCTCTTAATAACAATAGCACCAATAGTACTACATCGATCGTAAAACCGTCAAGTATCAAGGCATCCGGACCTACAATTGCTGATGTAGTAGCAGGCAGTAAGTATTATAATTAATACGCCTTTCTATCATAATTGCTAATAGGCTTGTTTATTCGTTACTTATAGCGGTTGGTAAACAATCAGCATCAGCAAAAACCAATAACAATAAAGTCAATGAGACTAGTACGGCAACTAGCATGAAAATGACAACAAGTACTGACTCGATTTCAAGTAATATATCAAAGGATTCTATTAAGGTAGAAAAATGCTCTAACGCTATAATAATGGATATGCTAACTACTAGCTGTTTATATCATTTACGCAATTGACTATAGACATCACCTAATTTGACAACAATTACTCATCCGGATACGACTACATCCACGGAATCGACAGCAGTTAAAGATGCAAATGCACCAAGTGCAATACGTGCCAAAATACCAGCTGGAGCAGATCAACCGCCATCGGCCGCTTTAGCCGATTTAATTGCTACATTTGAAACGGCAAAACAAAAAGCACGAGCACGACATGATCTTGGTCAATATCAGCAAATACTTGATCAAGGCTGTCTTTATCTACCCGGTAGTCTGGATGCAGAACGGTATGTGTCAATATTAACGACCAAATAGGTGTGTTTATTAGTGTATTAATGTACGATCAATGAATCATCACTAGATCTAAGCAATATATACCGAAAAATGTACACCCTACACCCGCCTATTATCCGACAACGCCATCACCGCTATTCGATAATCCGCTACTGTTTGATAAGCTAAGCTCGGACGCTTTATTCTTCATCTTCTATTATCAACAGGGCACCTATCAACAGTAAGTAGTTAGTGATGTAATAGCGCTAGTACTAACAAACGACACTGCCATTCTACTCTCCTAATTAGATATCTAGCGGCAAGATCATTAAAGAAAAAATCATGGCGTTATCATAAAAAATACCAAACGTGGTTCCAGCGACATGAGGAGCCGGTAGCAATTACCGACGAGTATGAGATGGGCACCTACATCTACTTTGACTACGAGGGAGCATGGTGTCAACGGAAAAAGACAGAGTTCCGATTTGAATATCGGTACTTGGAGGATGCTGAACTAGTATGAGTGAATAGGTGCCAACGTACACGCACGGAGTTCTAGTTATTTCGTATTTCTTTGCTGTAACTCTCTCTCTCTCTTGCCTATATGGCATTACATACATATTAAAGTTATTCTTATTATTCTCATTATCATTACACTATCTAACTAAACTCATTACCAAGTGTTGCACAACTGTAATGGCGCTTACCTTCCTGTATACACGTGTAGCATTAGCTAGAAATAGTAGCAAAAAGTGACTGTGACGCCTCTCACCCATTTCATCGAAGATCATGATGATACTAGCTAGTAGTATCATCATCGGCATCACCAGTCACATTATTATTATCTCTATCATTAACTTCAGTATTCTCATTATCAACACTATCATTAACACTACTAACGTTGCCATATTTATCTTACTCAACATCACCTCCCTCCTACCGATTAAGCGCTTCTTACTCGAGGAGAAGTCTCTTTTAATACAGAGAACGTAGCAGAGCTACGTTCATGGAGCGGTGTATGTTGCGTATATAAACTAACGACGTTACACATATCAATAAACATTAATTGACCTTTTCCTTGACACTTCTGACTATTCGTAACTTGCTTTATTGTTTGAGTTCGTGTAGTTTGTGTCATAAGGTTCTCTCGCACGATCTCGTTCTACGTAAGACCTCACTCGTCGCTTTGTCCCTTATTTCTATTCTACTTGCGTGAGCGTCTTATACTAATAAGACCTCACTTATCGCTTTATACCTCCCTTTCCACCCTCCTAGTGTGAACGTCTTACAGTGACTGCTATCGAGAGCAACCAGAAGCAAAAAAATGGAGGTAACGGGGTTTGAACCCGTGGCCTCTCGCATGCAAAGCGAGCGCGCTACCACTGCGCTATACCCCCATATGAGGCTACTGGCTGTAGTTATATGTAATCCGCTCCTGTGATATATGAACTTCACAGTAGGATTTCCTCACTTTAACGAATCTCCACCTAGATTTGATCACGTGATGATACACTTGCTCATTATTACGTCAGGATCTATAACGATCACCCACTCGCCTCTTATTCCCTTACACAAACAATCAACAACCACCCGACGATTCAACATAAAGTAGCATTCGCCATGCTACGCTTCCCGCTCATCAACAAGTACTACGCGAACTAGTACATCTTCGACTAACTCGGCAAAGATGCGCTGTAGCAAACTCACATCTACTGCTGGTACCTCTTTACATTCATAGCTGTTCTAGCTATATAAGCGTACTTACATTTATACGAAATAAAGACATTATCTTATCACACACTTACTCATCGAACAATACCCTCTACTCTACAATTCTCTCAACTTATCATAGTGTCTTATCTTAACACGAGCTCTCGAATCTATCGTAACATTATTTCAGGCAGAACAAATTGCCGCGTTACAATTTTGGTGCTCACTACAGGGAGTTCTTCTAGCTAAGACTAAGACATTTATTTTTCATATTTAGTTACATTTCTACATCAAGTATCGCAATGGACGGCAAGATCGGATGTATGGAAGCCCCTACCTTCGGAAGACGCAAGAGTGAAGACCCCGAGAAATGGCTGAGCCGATTCAAGAAGATCAAACGTGCAAACAATTGGCTCGACGACCAAGCAATCGCAATGGCAGGAGTCAGCTTAGAAGGGACGGCCGAGGCATGGTATGAATCCATCGAAGAAGTGACTACGACCTGGCAAGAATTCGAGAATGCCTTCCGTAGTAAATATGTTACCGTTGGCTATAAACATCATGCAACTAGGCAGCTCTTCTCGTATCGTCAAGGAAAAGAAGAATCCATCGACGAGCTACTCACCACATTGGATAGCCTGATCAAGCGTGCGGAAATTACAAGCGACGAGGTCAAGTTGGAATTACTAGCTCAAGCTATTCGACCGGAGTACAAGCGTGAATTTCGAAAGGAAGGTCCAAATACATACCGACGAGCCAAGGAGTTATTACTGCGAGAAGAAAGTCTTGATTTAGAAGCGCAGGATATCTTACCAAGTATCAAGGCATCCTACGACCAACCAGCGTTAATTGGTCGGACCAAGAGCGAAGAAAGCAAGAGTCAGTCTCTCGAAACCAGCATGGAACGTCTAATGGAGCGATTTCAAGAAATGTCGCTCAACATGATACAAGCCATGGTACAAGAAAAGAGCAAGCCCACGGAACGAAACAATGAGCGTTCATTCAGCGAAAGACGATGTTACAATTGTCAAGGCAAAGGACATATGGCCCGAGAATGTCCCCAGAGACAAGGAGAAAATCTGAATCTATTAGATAACGATGCTAATGAAGATGATTTGTTCCCCTTAGGAAAGAGGAAAGAACGAGATATAGCTATTCCCGCTACAAGGAAGAACGCTAGAAAAGCCGTTGCTACCGATATGGAAATGGATATCCAAGAACAGACGGTACCAACAACACACGTTGCGCAACCAACGGTACAAGCGAAGGATGTACCACGAAGGAAAGCCCCCGCAGCGAAAGAAGGAAATGTGGCTGCAAGAGTTCCCCGGCAACCACGAATGCCTCCTAATCTAAATTTGGAGACAGACAGAAATGCGTACAAGATTGAGGATCAACTACGTTCGACGCCAGCAAATATCTCGATTGCACAACTGATTTACCAATCACCGGCAATCAGACAACAGTTAGCACGAGCTTTACGACGTGAGATGGATGCCAACAATCTTGATGATGAAATTGGTCACAATTACACTTCAGCTCGACGACGTGTAATCATCAACGGTATAGAAGTAATGGCAATTATCGATACTGGAGCTGCCAGCTCGGTGATCAGCCCTGCGTTGGTCTCACACTTAGGTATACGACCTAGACACCGCGTTGATCGAGTATTGGTCACCGCAGATGGACAACGACATACTCCCCGGCATATGGTGAAAGACTTACCCATAAGTATTGGACCCCTCACTTTACCCGCGGATATCATTGTATTCGAAAGAACAGGTCATCTACTGATTCTAGGTATCGACTGGATGAAGAGAAATTCCATTACACCAGATATCATTCAAAACAAGTTAATTTATCGAAAGGATGGTATAACAATGGAAATTCCCATGAATACGCAGCAGTACGACGATATCGACCCCCTATTAGAGGACGCTCCCGTATTTGCCGCTCCAGACACGCCTCCAACGGATACCGCCAGCATTGAAACCTTATTCGAACATTTCAGTGTACAAAATGAAGGAGTAACTGCCGTGAACAGTCAGAGCGATTCAGGAAACGATGCAGATCTCGATATCATGGACCCGGACGATCTGTTTGGACTCGCAGTCACTACACCAACCACTGCTTATCAACCGTTACCGGAAGACGACAGAGCCCAGTTACAAGCGGTAGTTGACGACTTTAAGGATGTTTTCGCAGAGGAAATCGAGGAATTAGGACGTACAACCGCAGCAACGCACTCGATTGATACAGGAGATCATTCGCCGGTAAGAATTCGACCTTACCGTGTACCACAAGCAATGCTACGTCAAATCAAAGAAGAAATCGAGAAGATGAAGCAAAGTGGCGTAATCGAAGAAGCGCAATCACCCTGGTGTGCTCCACTTGTGCCCATTCAAAAGAAGAACGGTGGACTACGTCTATGTGTCGACTATCGAAAGTTAAATGCAATCACTAGAAAGGATAAGTATCCCTTACCTTTAATTGACGAAATCATGGACGCCTTAGGTGGATCATCAGTTTACTCAACACTCGATGCGCGTTCTGGATATTGGCAAGTCCCTTTGGCTACGGAAGACGATCGCGACAAAACAGCTTTTGCAATTCCTGGTGGAGGCTTTTACCGCTTTTTAGTTATGCCTTTCGGTCTAGCAAACGCCCCCGGAACGTATCAACGCATGATGGAACGTGTGTTCGCTGATATGTTATGGAAAAACGTCATAGTATTCATTGACGACATTATTATTTACTCGAAGAATGTGGACGAACATTTGGAACATCTAAAAATAGCCCTCGATAGATGCCGAAAAGTTCAACTTCAACTATCTCCCACTAAATGCTTCATTGGATATCAAGGACTGGAATATTTAGGTTTTCGAATTTCAGCTCATGGTTTAGCACCCACCCCGAACAAAATCGATGCGATTATACATGCTAAACCGCCTACTAACGTTACGACGGTTAGATCATTTATGGGCCTGGCCAGTTATTATAGACGCTTTGTGGAAGGCTTTGCAACTATATCACGCCCATTAAATCGATTAATGCGGAAGAATACGCCCTGGTCGTGGGATGAAGATCAAATAGAAGCGTTTCAAACGTTGCAATCCAAACTCGCTAACGCTCCTATTCTACGATTTGTAGATTGGAACTTACCTTTTGTTTTAACTACAGATGGATCGGGACGAGGTCTTGGAGCAATCCTACAACAACGGTTGCCCGATCAGAAGGAAGTTGTTATTTCTTATGCTAGCCGTAGTCTCAGTCAAGCCGAAAGCAATTATAGTCCCACCCATCTGGAAGGACTCGCCGTCATATGGGCTGTAAAGCATTACCGACATTACCTGTATGGACGACGATTTACGCTTAAAACGGATCACTCTGCATTATTATCGCTATTTAAGACGTCAGAACCACTCACCGGTCGACTAGCTAGATGGCAATTAATGTTAATGGAATACGACTACGACATCGAACATATCAAAGGCAAGATAAACCCGGCAGATTACTTATCTCGACATCCAGCTCCTATGGAACAGCATACCGACCTATTTGCAATGTCATTCACCTTCTATAACGCAACTAGAGATTATGTGAACAAAATGGTTTATCCTACCAACGCCACGGAAATTGAAAGAAAGCGATTACGAAGAATCGCAGGAAAGTATAAGGTTATCGATGATAAATTGTATCAAGTTATCAATAATCAGGAAAAGGAAGTATTACATGAGCATAACGCTCACGAGGAAATAGCAAGGATACATAATGAAGGACACAATGGTGTCGAAAATACATGGAGACGTGTGAAGATGCGTTTCGCCGGCATCGGTTTATACAAAGTCGTGAAAGAAGTAGTAAAAGGATGCGACATATGCCAGCGAAATACTACGACGGCCATTAGACAGGAACCTATGCATTCTATCAGTTCCAGTTATCCATTCCAATTACTCGGTGTTGACGCCATGGGACCCATCAACCCCATCAGTACGTCTGGAAATCGATATATTTTGACAGCTATCGATTACTTCACTAAATGGCCTATTGCTCGAGCTACCAAGGATATCACCACTGAGACGGTCATTCGTTTCTTAATAGAAGATGTTGTGGCATTATATGGAGTTCCTCAGCAGTTAATTACGGATCGAGGAGCCGACTTCACGAGCGATTTAGCCGACGAATTCTTTAAGTATTTACGAATTCATCATACTCCTACTACTGCTTATAGACCACAAGCGAACGGTCAAGTAGAACGGTTAAATCGAACATTGAAAGAGCAGCTAACTAAACTGACTAACGGCAATTTACAATGGGATGTAGATTTATGGAAAGCTTTATTAGTTATTCGCACCATGACCAGTGCTACTACGAAGTTTACCCCTAGTCGTTTGTTATATGGTTATGAGCTCAAAACGCCAGCCGTATGGACGTTGAATACGAATAGTTTCATTGATTCCGAAGAAGAATACGATCAACGTTTACAAAGTATTCAGTACGAATTACCGAAGTTACGAGAAGTGGCTCAAGAGAATACGCGAATTGCACAGATACGTCAGAAGATTCGCTACGATCGAACGGTTCAACCGCGTTCTTTCCAACCAAATACGGAGGTTTTATTACGGGTAATGGTATCATCAAGCGGAAAATTCACTAACTTGTATGATGGACCGTACAAAGTCATTCG